ATATATATATATATATATATATATATATATATATATATATATATATATATATATAAACTTTATATCTCCCAATCCAATATTATTTTGTGGGATTTCTGGTGATAATGAAATAAAATTATCACCCGCATACAGTATTGAACTTATTATGCTGTTTTATGTTTTAGAACAAAAGGAAAGAATCATCCTACTTACCAGTTGTGGTTCTTTGCTTGTCAAGCAATCCTGTCATTGTCAAATAAGACCAACAATTAATGTCACATATTATAAAAAGTGGTTTTATTTCCTCATTAATCATTTCTATTGTCATGATCTGGCCTGTTTGCTCTCCCTTAATTAGTAATTCCTTTCACCTGTCGTTTTCCCTCCCTGCCTCAATTATAATTTATTCCTCTCACCTGTTTCACCTTGGTTATAATCAGCCTGAGCATTCGGTGCCAGATCATTATTTGTTTTCTGTCAGTCTGTCTGTTCAGTTTTATTTCATGGTTCATGTCCTGGATCCTGGCGGCCAGATCATTCTGTCATGAACCGAGGACAAATGGACCCAGTATTCAAGGAGAGACAGTCAGTATGAAAGTTCAAAAAGTTTATTAAATAAAACAAAAACTAAAGTGGAGCTGTGGCCCGCGGACACTGCAGGATCCAGAACAGACAGGGACAGGATCCAGATCAGACAGGAACAGAAACAGGTGGCAGGATCCAGACTTCCAGGCATCAAAGAGCTCCCAGGAGGGTTCAGAGTCTGACAGGGTCCGAAAGCGTGACCAGATGGTCACGCACGGGAGCAGACAGTATCAGGTGCAGATGAGGAGGCTCAGTGGAAGAGGGTAGCCGAGACAGGACATGGAACCAGAACTTGATGCAGGACTTTAAACTGGTCTCCTCCTTGGAGCCAGGCTTACTGAGATAAAAACTGAACCTCCCCACATATAGAGCCAAAAACCCAGAGGACTCCGCGGGGGAGGAACAGTGGACGATCAGGAGACGAGACAAACACAAAAACCTCTTTCCACTGGCTGCCAGGATCCAGGACATGAACCATGAAATAAAAATAACAGACAGACTGATAGAAAACAAATAATGATCTGGCACTGAATGCTCAGGCTGATTATAACCAAGATGAAACAGGTGAGAGGAATAAATTATAATTGAGGCAGGGAGGGAAAACAACAGCTGAAAGGAATTACTAATTAAGGAGGAGCAAACAAGCCAGATCATGACATCTATTGCAACTATAAAGGGACGAAGCCTGAAGGTTTTTAAAGAATTTTAGATTTATGAAATGCTGAAAGTCAACATTTGTTCTCTTATATGTTAGACAGCAGATAAACTGACTTACCTTCTCCAGCCTCAACATCACCTCCACCTAGGTCAGAGATAAAGACAATAGATGTTTAGTTGTAGATCAGCACTGATACTAATATTCTATTTTCAACCATTTAGTAATCAGTATTTACATGATAAATAAACAGACTCTATATTTAATGAAACACTATGTCCTGCTTTAAATTTCATCTCCAGACCTTCCTATCTGACCTGTCTGCAGGTTGTTCTCTGACGTTCTCTAACAAACCTCTGAGGCCTTCATCACATGGCTGGATTAATAGTGAGATTTTAAATCATTTTTAGCTTTTAAAGGAGCTGGTTGTAAACTGCTTTATTAAGGTATATTGGAGAAAACAGAACTGAATATGATTACATACCAAACTTTTCAGGTTTTCCTCCCACACTGCTTTGCCCTGTTATAAACAGACATATTTACAAACACTCTACAAAGACATGTAATCACAGTTTAACATAATCTCAGACTCAAACCTTCCTGCTTAATTTCAGGATTATCTAAAGCCTTTCCAATTTGCTACATAAACGTAAAGCTAGTGTTGTTGGAAAAATTTAGATTCCTCTTTTATTATATATTAATTTATCCTATTTACTCACTATAAAAGTTTTCACTCAGTCTGTTTTACCTTGAAGGCCACACCATTCTCTGTGGGAGGGTGTTTGTAGACCAGACATAACTTCTTCCCATAACAAACCAGATTCTTTCTCAAGGTTTATTCATAACATGTTACTGTTAACCAAAGTGTCTGTAACTTGTTTTGACTCTGACTAGTTTTACATTGTTGTAAGTAAGGGGGGAATGAACGCTGCTCATGCAGAACAGGGCAGAATGCTATGCCATTAGGGCTGTATGATGAACTGTTCTCTCTTTGCAAAGATATGAATAAATGTGCCGACTGAGTGAAATCCATCGACCTCTGTTTATTTAACTAGGGTGAATAGTTGAATAATTTTTTCCCACCACACTAGATTCTGAAGTTTACATCTAGTAAGATTATTAAAACTTTAAACAATTCAGTAAAGCCTTGATGATAATGATGATGATATCACAGGAAAAAAAAACAAAGAAAAAAACAAGAAAGCAGACCAGGATGAACATTTTGGACATCCACAAATCGGATTCTTCCTTGAGTACAATTTCCAGATCAGTGGTGTCAAAAGTACACACATTTGTTACTTAAGTAGAAGTATAGACACTGCAGTTTAAAAACACTCTGGTAAAAGTTTAAGGATCAAGTCGACCTCTTTACTCAAGTAAAAGTGAAAGTAACCGCTATATGAATTGAAAGCTCAATTTTTCGACCATTTCGAAAATTCTTTGAGATAGGGCCAAGGATGATGAAGGTCTTGTTGGTCTCCATCTCCTGATACGCTCTCGCCTGTGTCCGGCCTTTCACACATTTCAACGTCTTTTTCTGTATCCTATATTGTAGCATGGCATAGACAATTCACGTTGCAGTTTGAAGAACACCTGCTTGCTTCTGATGATTTCCTTTAGCTAACCAATGAGTGTTTGCGTTCTATGACTCATCCAATTACACTAGTTTTCACTAGATGTGGGTGGAGCCAATGATCTGCATTGGATGGCGCACATGACGTGAAATAAATATTTATAAACATTAAACCAAAGCCAAGAGTAACTAGTAACGTTTGTTTTAAAAATGTAAAGAATAGGAAGTACAGATATTTGTGTGAAAATGTAATGAGTAAAAGTCAGAAGTAGGAAGAAAAATAAGTAATTGAGTACAGTATAGATACCTAAAAAGTGTACTTAAGTATAGTAACAAAGTATTTGTACTTCGCTACTTGACACCTCTGTTCCAGATGTATAAAGCCACGAACATCCATCTTTTTAAACCGGGGGTCGGCAACCCGCGGCTCCGGAGCCGCATGCGGCACTTTAGCGTCCACCTTGCGGCTCCCTGGAGCTTTTTCAAAAATTTATGAAAATCTATTTTATTGTTTGTTTTAATATGGTGTGCAGGAGGTCAAAGAAAAATGTATTATGTTTTCTGATGCTGTAAACATTTGTATAATGTATAAACAATTTGTATAAATGTAAACAATTTTATAAATTTGTATAAATGTAAACAATAATTTGTGTCATAGCCATAGAGATCAGTGTAACATTTGCTCAAAGATAAACATTTAATCATAAATGATTATTATATATTTAGGCCCACATAGTCCTTTTTCTATAGTGGGATAATAACTTAGAGCCTGTGTTGCCGTACGAGGCATAAATAAGACTTTTACATTTTTTGCGGCTCTAGACAGATTTTTTTTTGTTGTTGTTTTGGTCCGATATGACTCTTTGAGCAATTTGGGTTGCCCGACCCCTGATTTAAACAAAGAGACTCAAGTATAAACAGAGTGGGAAGGTCAATCTATCACGTTATAAAGGAAGTTGTCATAAAAATCAAAGCTAAAGACCAGATGAGGAAACTGACTGAAGCTGGTAAGAGAGAAACAATATTCACAGATATGGGCTGATATGGGCCTGCAGAATGGATGATACCCCAAAACATACCAGAAAATGGTTGTTAGTAAAGACTGACCACAGCTGATAAAACATCATCAAATACTTTGTGACCCCAGAAAAAAAAACACTATTTAAACTGAAAAATATATAATATATATAATGTGTTTCAACCAATTTTGTATAAATTAATTAGGAAATTCTTCTTCTGCTTTTGCACCTTTTTTTTTTAGCAGTTTTTCCATCCATTTAACTTTCCATCATGATGCCTGTGTGATCCACTACCTCATAATTGGAGGCAATTTAAGATTCTAACTTAGTAATAAATCTGTGTGATGATCCTGTATAGAATAAGGATTTTTATGCAGGTATGTTTGTATCTATTTCTTATACATCAACACATGGGTGATAGGATGCAAGTTTTACTAACCCAACCCACTACCATTTCATATAATTTCTACAGACACAGGCTTTTGCTTCCTTAATAAACAGTTTTTAAACGAGCAAAAGGAAAATAATTATTATTTGTCTAAATTCTCCTATTGCAATTTTTACCAGAATCATCCTATTGCGAAATAAGACCATTTATTAATGGAAGACATTATAAAATGTGTGATTTATTTGAGGGCAGAAATCGTCATTTCTAATTCAGTATTTAGTCTTTTTTTGTTATCAAACAATCAAGATTTTTAAGTAAATGCTAAATACTTCTGAGAACAATATTTCACTTACTGGATGGTTTCTCTTTATTTAAACCGCCCATATAAAAAATACATATGTTACAGTTTCTAGATCAGTTATAAGTCTTTTGAAAACATTTACAGATTATTTAGTAACTTACTATTTGTTCTTGGCCTTTGGAAATATCCTGCAATAAGAATAAAGACATTAGTGTTAGATAATCCCTGTCTGTAGTACAGTTCAGGTTTAACCTTAATGGTGAGCACATCTTACCCAGGAAGTTCTGTTCAACTTCCTATGTAAAACGTCCTCAACATTTACACAAACTTAAACCTGCTCATTGGAACTTATAAATAGGCTGTTTACATAGCACACCTCTTAAAAACACCTCAACTTAATAGGTTAATTACAAATGTGATGAATTTGTGTTTTCTCACCTTTCTTGTACATAAAAAATGAAGCAACTCCAATCCCAGCTACAATCAGGAGAACAATCACAACCGTTACAGCTGCTGTTGATCCAGAACTCTCTGAAAATCAAAGAGTGATAAGAAGGTGGAAACATTAGATATTAAAGAGGAAGATAACCGTAAACATGCCTGGTTTAGATCTAAGCATAGTGATGGGTTGGAATGGCCTAGTCAAAGTCTAGACCAGATGTACAAAGCTGGAATAGATGCCTAAAAAATAAGTTATATAGATGTGTTTTTTATAATTTGTGTTTGTAAACTTTTTTTAAAAACCATGTACGATTTTATTTCCATTTCTCCACTATGGGCGTCGTCCATAGTGGAGAACCCACCATCATACTGTGACGATGGGTTGTGAGAGGTTAACTTCTTTCTACTCATTTCTCATTGCACATTTTTTTGATTATCTTAGATATTTAAGTAGAGCAAAAGAAAAAAAGAAAGAAAGAAAAAACTATTCCTAAGGTGCTGATGGATAGTTTTGAGGATCGGCTGGCAAAGGCAGTGAGAGAATTTGTGCATTTGTATGTTACACCATCTAAGTAAAATAAAGCATTTATATGAGGCTCTCCTCCTCATTAATCTGAAAAATGCTTCCTCTGTCATTATTTAGCTGTTGTGTTTCTTTTGCAGATGCAACATAAGCTACAGTGGATGGGACTTCCTATAAGTTAAGCAGCTGAACTTTGTGGAAAGCAGGAATACTCAGAAGTAAAACAAACAATTTTATATTTCTTGCCATCTTGAGGAAAAAAAAATGTTTTTGTCTCTTATCGAGTATGAAAATAAAATCTAAGGTCAGTACATTTTAACATCAATGTATCACAGATAATCCCTAAATGAAGTTGGTGTTTGTTTGACTGAAGTAGAAAACATAAATAAAGCATACGTACCGTTAGATGGGAATGTTTCCCTCTCACCACTGATAAAGGGGTTTTCCACTGTTTCACTGGAGCTCCTGCTGACAGGGTTTACCAACTCACAGAAAAAGGAGCTTTCCTTATTCTGCTGAGAAATAAATAGAAAACAGCTCTAAACCAAACCATGAAGGTTCTACTGAGTTCTTCC